AAGTTTCGTGAAGACTCCCCAACCTCTTCAAGTATTGTAATCATTTTATTCTAACCATGAATATTCAAAAAAAAACATCTGTTGCCTTGTTAAGACCTATAGCTCAACGATAGTTTAATAAATTGCTCTGAAACTTTTAGAGAACGTTGTCTGCAAATTTCAGAAGTAAATGTTATACTAGAAGGATATGGCATATGGATGATCATCATGTTAGTGTCGAAGATCCAGAGACGCTAATATTCGTGCAAATGAATTTATCATTTGGATGAAGACATGATAGATTTAGCTTAATTTTCATGTGAAAATCATTTATTTGATTAGCTACAAGACTAACTTCAGTAGACAGTCTTTTAAGACTGTGAAGCTCACAACAAAAATAGATTCCATTCATCATAGCTCTGTTTCTACTCAAGCAAGCGAGATTCGAATGGTGCCACTGATCTAAGGTGATAGAAAAGTTAAACAATAACGTATTTTTTTTCTATAATGTTAAGGACTTAGTTCAAATTCAGATAGTGATTTTTAACAACTAATAGCATTTCCTATATAATACATTCTACACTAGATGAACTAACTTTCCTTAAAAAGTTAAAAGTATCACAAAAACTGAAAAAAAGGTAATTTTTTGATAAATTTCGTTTTTTGTCATATTTTTAATTGTTTAAGAGAAGATAGTTTATCTAGTATAGAATGCATTCGATAGAAAACTCCATTGACTAAATCACTATCTAAATTTGAGCTAATTGCTTAACATTATAGAAAAAAGAATCAAAGATATATTATTGTTAAAATTTTTTCAGATCTCTAGCTATTATGGTAACTGAAATTCAAGGACGGAAAAAACTTTTGTCCAAAACTATACATCTTGTATTTAATAATACACAATACAGGTCATCATATTATACAAATAATTATAGTTCACTGTTTGATATAGGAATATTTCTATCGATGATGAATATAAAATTACATACCGAAATTCTTCTATTGACATAGATCCGGAATTTTTAACATTATAAAAACGAAAAATATATCGACAACGTAATTCTGCTGGAGCTCCTAATTGAATTTTTTTTCAAAATTAAATTAGATTCAACAACAAAAAAAAGATTTAATTAATACCTCCATGTGAAGTATTTGGATCCATTGCAGCTAATCCTAAATTGAAGAATAAATATCTTCAAAAATTTTATTGAATGAATTAACTAACCAAGTAAATAATCTAAATAAGTTAAATAAGAAGTTTTTTGAGCATCAAAAGCACGAAAATAAGCTTGAATTTTTGTTTTTTCTATTGTTGATAATTTATTATCCATAGCTTCAGTAAAACTTTTCAAACTCATATATTCACTTGGAAATGTATATGAATAAAATTCTTTAAAAACACGTTCTTGAACTAAATCAAAGCAAAGAAGAAAAAGAAATAGAATTTTTTGTGAAATATAAAAAGATATCTTTTTATACTTTTATTATTAAATTTAGCTGAACTTATTAATTGCTCTAATGGTGAAATAGTTATTTGATTATTTAAATCAACTTGTTTATATTCAATAAGTTGGAAAGTCGGCTCTTCAAATATTTTTCCGTTGGATATTACGCCATCTAAATACAGACAAAAAAAATTAATAGAAAAGAAAATATATGAAACATTTACATACCCCATCCATTTACTTGTTGTTGTTCAAGAATATTTTTTAATATATAATATGGTTCAAGTCCAAGTAATTCTCGATTTTTAATAGCCATATTTATTCGTTCTAAATTCATCCATATTGAATTAATTGAATTCGATCCATTTACACGTGCCTAACAATAAAAATAATAAAATTTTTCAATAAGACAAAAAAAAAATGTATTTTGAAGCAATAAATAATTACTAATTGAGTTTTACTAAGTAAATAATATGTTTGTATACTTGGTAAACATGGTAATACATCACAACATCGAATTTTAAATACAGATAATGGTTCAAAATCATATGGAGAACACTAAAATATATTCAACAAATAATTTATAATCAAATATCAAATAAATAAAATATTAACCTTATTTGCTATTCGTTTCGCAGCAAGAGCTCGAGTTTCACCTGGTTGAATTTCATCAAATGGAAACCAATATCCACGGCCTGGATTTTGTTCAATAAGAAGTAAAGCATTAAGATCTCGTTCGATAATAATACATATAACTAACTTCATTTCAGTAATTTACAACAACAACAAAAAACATTTCCTATTTACTTTTGATCTAGAAATATCAAACTCGAAAAATATATATTTGATAATAGACTTGTTTATTATTAAATCCAATAGAAAGTAAAATGAATACCTTCATCAATAACAGATGTCACCATTCAATTGAATAAAACAAACTTGTTTTTTTCGAATACCTCGGAAAAAAAAAATGTTAAAAATAGATGATGTTTTATTTTATTGAAACAATTTATAATAGAAAATATATTCAGACAAATTTATTTAATTTGTCTAGGAAGCTGCGGATTCGTATCCTTGAGCTCGTCGGATCGGTGGTTCCGGACTCGCTTGGGTCCAGATCCAAAAAATTTGAACCCGATGGGCTCTAGTCATTGGAAAAATGTGTAAGGTACCCTAGTCATCGAATACAACAAATTGAAAAAAATTATTTCGTATCTTCCGGACGACTATTCAATTCAGATTAGAAAATTCCGTTGAGAGTATCAAAGTATGGTTCGACCAGATCCGGATCCTAAAAAGGTTCAATGAATCGGACTCAAAAATTTAGCTTCTGTCGGGTTCGGGACCACAAAAACGTGAACCTGCAGCTCCCTACATTAATTGTATAGAACAAATTCTTGCTTGATCTCGTTTACATCATTCAACTAAAACTATTCGATATAGCTCATGAAGATTTATGTATTATTGTTGGTCTGACGAATTCTGTTTTCTCAATTAACTGTTCAATATCGGCTCTTTTTTTTATGTTAACATAATGCTCGTCTTAACTAAGCTAAAACTTTTAATTTATTAAAGTATCGAGTGATAGAAAAGTGAATAACAAGAAATAATTGTATGTTGACGTTTTTTTCTAAGACTAGCCAATAAGTAGTTAAAACCTTGATTCTTCACTTGTTTATGTAGGCAGAGGGTGCCAGATGTTGGTAGAAAAATGTTCGAAACTGGCATCCGCAACTCCCTAGCTTTTACAGGAGTCAAAAAGTAGTTGATTATTCCAAATGAATAATGTAGAATATATGAAAGATTTGCACAGTACCTATTGACCAATATGTAATTCTTCGAAGAGAGAGCAACAGGTCAGATGTGTACTACAATAAGTAAA